ACTTTCCGCAAGACCTTGTACGTCAGACAGTACACTTGCAGCTCGAAACTTTCGACCCGGGGATGCAAACCCTAAAACCCTAAACCCTAAAACCCTAAACCCCTAAAACCCTAAACCCTGAAACCCTAAAACCCTACACCAACTCTGCGAGGAGCCTTCTAAGGAGTCACCGGCAAGCCAGGAGAAGAAGCTCGCCTCAAAAGAGTCGGGTGAAGGAAATTAGGGTGGAAGGTTTAGGGTTTAGGGGTTTAAGGTTTAGGGGTTTAGGGGTTTAGGGTTTAGGGGTTTAGGGGTTTAGCGGTCTGGGGTCTAGGGTTTAGGGGTTTAGGGTTTGGGGTCTAGGGGTTTAGGGTTTAGGGTGTAGGGTTTAGGGTTTAGGGTTTATAAGATAATACGGCCCGGGGTGGGGGGTGGGTAGGGCGTATTTGATAGGGTGTAGGGCTTATAGGCTTATAGGGTTTAGGGCTTGGGGTTTATAGTGTTTGTAGGTTTAGGGTTTATGTGGCTTATAGAACTTATAGGGTTTATGGGGTTTAAGGTTTATAGGGTTTAGGGTTTAGGGACGGTGCAGGGTTTGGGGGGAGAGTGAGTAGAGTAGACTGGAGTACAGTAGACGGGAATCGTATCTGGGACTGTTACGAAGGCCTTAATGCAATAATTAGAGAAAGCTTACCCTAAATTTTAAATGACTCTCAAATGCTTACTATAGGGGATACTATGAAAAAAGGGTCTAGTATTAGGACCCTATAAGAGTTAGACTACATAGGGCTTTTGGGTTACATTCCTGTGCACTATATCAGTGTATTCCTAAGCCCTAAAGCCTAAACCCTACACCCTCCAGGAACCCTAGGAGATTTAGTATTGGTACTTATCTCAAACGCTATGTTCGTCAAAGGGTTTGCGAAGGCTTAAGATATCTACATCGTTTAGATGCTGGCCTTGAAGGCTTCCTATACTTTAGTGCTTCAAGCAAGGAGGAAAAACGATGAAGGTAGATAGAGCCTTTGGGATAAAGGGTGCAGGATCTAGAGATCGGCAGGTGACCGGTCAGAGATTCGCCAAAGGGCGACTATCACCAGCAGTTCTACTAAACCTGATGGAACCATGCTTGGAGGCCCAGGGGACCTAGTAGGTAGGTTATAAGTAGAGTTATAAGTACCCTACATGGAGTTACCCCCCAATTATAACCCTACTTATAACCGACTTACTAAGTCCCCTGGGCCTCCAAGTGATGACCGGATCAATAGCCTTGAAACTAAAAACGCAGCCCACGTGAGGGCGGAAACCCCCAGCGCAGGCCCGAGTCTGAATAGGTTTTGGAGGTAGGGTTTAGGGTTCAGGGTTTAGGGTTTAGGGCTTAGGGTTTAGGGTTTAGGGCTTAGGGTTTAGGGTTAAGGGTTCAGGGTTTGGGGTTCAGGGTTTTGGGTTAAGGGTTCAGTTTTTCGCGGCACATTAAAATATTTAATTAACCACTGATGGAGTCGCAAGATATCCTAGGTACCGACTCAGCACATGTCTACGTCCCATGACAACCTACTACTCTTCTGGAAGATCCTAGTCCAGCCCTGCGCACCTGAACCCTGATTAATCAACAATCTAGACCCTAAACCCCAAACATTATCAATCCTCAACCCCAAACCCTAAACTTTAAAGCTCCACCCCAAACCCTGAACTTTAAAGCTTGAGCTAAGGGGTTTAGGGGTTTAGGGTTTAGGGTCAAGGATTCAGGGTTCCCCCTAAACCCTGACCCTCCCTAAACCCTGCCCTCCCCTGCCATCCCACGAACCCTGAATCACTTAAGGGACCTTCCAGAAACTCCAAAAAATAAAAACCTAACCGTAGGATAAGACCCTTAAACTCTGAAGCCTGAACACAAAACCCTAAATCCTAAACCAGAAATCAGACCTTAAAGAACCCCCAAAACTAAAGACTCCCCCCGCCCCCCTCTGACAGAAGCCCACGCCTCCCGCGCGTGCAGAGACGAACTTCGAGCCCTGAACTTTGCCAGAAGTAGCCGGGCCTCACACACAGAGGTTTGGGTTTAGGGATTTAGGGCTTAGGTTTTAGGGTTTAGGGTTTTGGGTTCAGGGTGCCTTTGAAGTAGAAGCCAGAAAGTTGGAACATCATTATCCTCATGCTCTTAAGGTAATTCATACGGGATCCTAGCTCTAATCATCCTACACCCATGCTGCATGCTCCAACTTTCAGGGTTCCTTTAAGGGAACATTGAGGGCTCATTTACAGGTACATGCTTTGAGACATCTGTGTGTGTGCATGTGTGGCAACAGGTAGAGATGGAGATGGAGATACAAACAGAGACGGAGGTAGAGATAGAGACAGAGATGTAGAAAAAGATGTAGTTTGGTTAATATATAGGGGCCATAATAATTAGAATAGGGTTTTGAGGTATATTATACTATACTTAGTACTAATGAACCCCCCAAAATAGTATAGGTAATTATTTAGGCCCCTACATTAGACTGATAGATACCAGGCCCAGCCACCCAAACCCCCTCTTCCCTCAGCCTTGCAGCCCAACGACAACCAACCCACCGTAGCCAAGTTGCTGCCATCCAGTAGCTCCGCCCTTCCTTGGGGGCGAAGGGTACCGACCCCCGCCCAGACGCGGCCATGCGGACCTGGCGGGTTTCTACGAGGCTTTCTACCTGTAACGGCTTTTAGGGCTCCGAGAAACAATCCTTCATGGGTGAAATGATGTAGGGGCCTCAATGAATATAAGAACTGCGAGATACTATGCCGAAAATTACGACTTCCACAGTCGTCCGAACTACAACTCCTCTGGAACCCCTGTACCATCGCCAGCAGCCCTAGGCAACAACAAAGCCCGGATTCCTGAACCCCGAATCACGATCAAATCCCAACAACCCTAAACCCTAAAGCCCTAAGCCCTAAACCCACCATGAGCCGAGCAACCCCAACCAACGCTTGGGTCGGCCAAGACTAAGGGGTCAGGGCTAGGAGTTTCGGGCTCTCCAAAGCCTTACTGCCCTAAACCCTAAGCCCCATAAAAATACTAATACTAATAACAATAATAATAGTAACAATAATCGTAATAACCATAGTAATAATAATGAAAATAATAACGAGAATAAAAACAATGATGATGATCACGATAATTATAGGCCGAAGCCTAATTCAGCAACCCAAATCCTAAAGTTCTAAGGCCTATTCCCAAATTCTAAACCTCACACCTTGTTCCCAAAGCCTAAACCCTAAATTCCCTATCCCTTAACCCTAAACCCCGAATCCTAGACCCTTAGATGTTCCCATCCCCCCGCCGTTCAGAAAGGCTCCGGCCTAAAACAAGTCACTCATGCAGAAATAAGTGTCCAGTTTGTGTATGTGGATACATATATGTTTTTTGTATAGGTATGTTCACGTGTATGTATACATATATATATATATACATATACCTGTATATGCACATGTATGTATGTGTGTGTATATATATATATACATATGCGTATTGTTATGGTTATACATAAATAGGTGTGTGTATATATATATATGCACATGTACATATGCACACACAAACACACACTCACCCCGCCCCAAGCAGCAAAACACGACCAGACAAGTGCTCCTGCCTCCTGAAACGGCGACATGCGCTTCGCCGTGGCAAAAGACAAGTTCCTACGGCAGCCGCAGGGCTTGAGCGGTAGGTTTTTTAGGTTTTACAGAGCTTAGGGTTTGAAGGAGTTGGGGTTTAGGGCTCAAGCTTTCTTGGGGTTTAGGGTTTAGGTATAGGCTTTGAAGTGTAGGGTTTCGGGTTTGTGACTCGGAAACCTACAGTCGCGGCGTTTTCATACGGGGCTCGATGTAGGGAGTTTAGGGTTTCAGATTTTCGGATTTCGCTTCGGGTTTGTGGATTCCGACACCATACCTCCAAGAAGCGCTCCGTCTGGGGCTGAAATGAAATACTGTTTTGGGGACTCCTTATTAATTATAAAATCATATACTATATCTTATATAATGGGCCCCCAAACCCTATTCTAATTATTAAGGCCCCTATATGAGGGCCTCTCTGAGATCCAACTACTGGAGACAATCCTGCTTTGGGAGCTAGGATTAGGGGGACCCTTGGGGATATAGACCCTCTCAATACGGTCCCTTTTAAGAGAGCCAAAAGTAGGGTTCAGAAGGGGTACCCTTTAAAGGGTACCCCTAATACTACTACCTATGCTTGACCTTCCGAGGTCCGAAGCTCCTGGCACTCTTGGACCGGAGTCCGACATGAAACGCACGCGAGGAGAGCTCGTGAGGTTTAGGGTTTAAAAGGGTTTAGGGGTTAGGGTTTAGGGTTAGGGTTTAGGGTTTTTTCTTTTTATCACCTCTTTTCCTTCGCCTGTAGGGTCTGGAATACCATGTTGGTTGAGGTATCGGGCGGGGAGCCTGAGGGACCACTGAAAAAAGGGATTCACCACCCTACCACTATCAATTCCCCCATTGTACCTAGCAATCAGGCTCCCACATGTCCTGCTAGCTCGCACTACTCGAAGTCCCTCTCATGCGACCACGCCGGCGTCGTCTGGATCGTTCCGGGCTCCGTCTGGCGGGCTCGTCTTCCGGTGGGAAGATCCCCCACGGGACCGTTTCCGCCTCCGAAACGTTTGGCAGTCCGGCTGGGTCCTCCTCGTACAACTGGGTGGCCGCAATCGGTAGGGACTGGATGTCCTGCGTGTCAATTTCAGCCGCTGCCTTGATGAAGTCGGCCACATCTTTACCCACCGTGTTCACAAGCTCTTCCCACTGCAACATTCCGCTCCGCCATTGTTGGTAATAGGGGTTGACATCTGCGTCGGCCGTGTTCAGGACTCGATGGCGGAGGCGTGGGTGTTTAGGCGGGGGTTCATCTCGATCGCCTTCACCTTCTGGGTGCTCGCGGGGTCGTGCAGTGTTTCTCGCCTCTTCCTCCAGAGTTCACTCCGCCTCACCAACCAAGAAAAGGGTGGATGATGAATCTGTAACAAACCTAACAGCGATACCAAGGAAAGTCAAAGCAGAATGAATCATACCGAACAAAGGATCTGAAACGCAAAGACCACCCTCATCGAGCTCTGAATCGCAACGCTGCTCCAAAGCAGAGCATATGTCCGCTACTAGCTTCTGCGCAGCATAAGCTCGACGTCCGTCGAGAGAAACCTCGCTCGAACGAATCCAGCCAATACGACTCGACACGAGGCAGAGACGCCAATCAACCACTGTGTCAAGTATTACCAAGGTCTCACCGACATCAACCGGAAGGTGGGGACAACCAAAATCAGAACAAACATGGTTGACGTTGGATTTCGCAACCTGGACGGAAATGTTCGCCGGAATGACGCCATTGACAACTTCGCGATCATGCATGTTAACGTGGTGGGCAACAGCCGCACGGATCACGTCCATGACACAATGACCGTCCATTGTGAACTCGACAGGCAACGCCTGCCAAACAAAGGTAGAACCTTCAGGACTGGGATTTGGAAACTTCAACAGGTTAGCGTCTTCAGAAGTGAGAGCAACAATAGCGCGGTGGGAAGTGCGTGTGAGCGCGTCAGCTTCAAGTAGCGCCGCACGGGGACGATAGGTCACCCTGGGCCAATGCCAGCCCTTGCTGGAGCGCAAAGCAGGGCTGCAGTTCCCATAAATGTTGACAAATGTGACAATCAAGCCTGTAGCTGCGACACACTTGTCACTCCTCCCAGCGAAAACATGATCGAGAGCCTGATGATCAGTCGCAATGGTGAGGTCGCTTCCTCGACGAGCCTCAGCAGTGGCAATCATGCACGCAACAAAAAATGCGTAAATCTCGTTCTTGTTGGTGGTGTTGTGAATGACGTCGACGATCAGCTTACGGCAACCGCCAGGGGCAGGCCACACAACCCTGGCCCCGCATCACACTGTATGTCCGCATCTCCGTAGCTGCAAGGCTCATACCAGCTGCAACCCCAAAGCATTTCGCCCAGGGCAACAAAATCGTCAACAAAGCATTTCGCCCAGGGCAACAAAATCGTCAGCGGTGTTGCAATTGCGAAGACGGGCAACAAACTCCAACGAGTGCGGGTCAGGGTGTACCAGGACGCTGGCCTCACTGGAACCCAGAAACATGGCGGACAACGCCTGACGACGAAGCTGGCCACAGTCGACCTCAAGGACGTGAGCCTCCATAGCACCCAAGAGAGCCCTACGCTGAGTGACCTTAGTTGCCTGACCGAAACGATTCAACAAGCTGCGATAAACCCGTGAGCCAACAAGCAACATGTACCGCGAGTAAGCCACCAAAGTGCTCCAGGTGACGAGCCCATGATGATCCCTCTTAAGTTCATCCAAACACCAACTGGACATGGTCTGGGGCACAGGTGTCTCACACAACAAATCTAAAAAAGGGAAGGTCGACACGACAGCCGACCGAGGAACAACGCGAGGGCTGCGATCAGTGAAACTAGGGGACATGACAAGGCAGTGCGTCGTCAAATGAATGACGTACACCTTCTCGCCGGAAGACTGCAATACCCCAGCATGAAGCCAAGGCTGCAGGAAAGTACTCTTACGATCGAACAACGTGTCAAATGCGTTGCTCAGGCCAACACCATCACCACTGGGTCTCCCTACGGAGGACTGATTTCGAGACATACTACCCGTTAATGGCATTTTTGGTCGCAGATGGGCGTTACTCTCTCAGTAGTCCTCCTCAGGAATCTCGGTGATCACAGAAAGGCAAGCACCAGTGTGGCTCAAGGACTTGAGCCAAAATGGCTACGGGGGTTTAGGGTTTAGGGTTAGGGTGATGGCAAATGCCAAAAGCTCGCCTCACATGCGTGTCTCCCTTCATTCGCGGATCCGAGCTGAGGACTCATGTGCCAAGGGCTGCAATTGATCCCAGTCGTCCATGTCCCAGATGGTGTCCGCGTTGCCGACGACGAGAAAATCTCGCCCTACAAGACTCTGCCCCTAAGGTCAGCCGGGACTCTCACGCAGACTCAAGGTGACCTAAACCCTAAACCCTAAACCCTAAACCCTAAACCCACGAGCCAAGGTCCACAGCCACCTCGTAAGGAGTAGCGCCTTCAGCGCTCTGGATGGTGACGTGAAAGGTTGGCATGACTGGATGGTCGATGCTGGGCTGCTTAACGGCTGCTTCAACTTCACAGCTTTGCGAAACAAGGACCCAGAGAGCCCAATACCCCTTAATTAGGCAATATACCTTACACTATAAGGGGCTTATCATTATGGTTTAAGGTATATTCCTTAATTAAGGGGTATTGGGCTCTCTGGAAAGACCGAGAGAGGGTGCTGGGGTGCCCTAAACTGTGATGATCCAGACCCCGTTATGCAGAATGCACCATTTCAGCCATGAGCAGCGTCTAGTTACTAGTTAACGGTGCCTCTATTTGCTAAGTCTTCCAAACCCTCGTGGGACATTTGCAGCTTTTCGTCTATCAGCAGAACGACCCAAGCTAAACTCACTCAAACCCGAACCCCAGCTGCTCTGAGTATGCGGGGCCCGAATCTAAGTAGATCGAACACTCCCTCAACCCTAAACCTTCGTGCAAGACGCCCTATATCTATTACTAATAAGAAATGTTGCAGGTTGCGAAGCCCGGGTTTCATCAGTGTTTAGGGGTCGAGGGGTTTCGAGGTGCAATATGTGTGGCTTCTTGTACCACTGATCTTTCTACTTAAGACATGTATTCGGGTCGCTTCTGCTCTGTAACTCCCGACAGGAATTTTCGTTGGTTCCGGGTGCAGAGTTCTTGCCTTGAGTATCACACGCTGGACCCTACACCCCCAAACCTCAAACCGAAGCAGAGAGGGTACGTAGCCGAGGACGAAGCCTACACCCTAAGCACCGGATCCTAAACTTGCCCCAAGCTCTGAAGCCTGAACCCTGCACCCTAAACCCTAAACCATGCACCCTACCGTATCTTGAAGCCAATCAACCCGACTCTCAAAGCTGGGTTCAGTGCTGAACGTCGCTTTGCTCATAATATAGGGGGCTTAACAAGTAGAATAGGGTTTGGGTCCCTTATACTGTAATCAAACATAATAAGGAACCCCCCAAAACAGTATTGGTAATTATTCAGGCCCCTATATTACTCTTACTCCTGTCACTTCTTAAGGGATGTTCAATAATTGAGCGTGGTTAGAGTGCCGGGCTTCGATAAAGTTTAGACTAGGGTTTAGGGGTGTAGCGGTTTAGGGTTTAGGATGAGGGCTTAAAGCATGAAAGTGCCTCATTCATAGGATCGGAGAGTAACGATCTTGTTTCTGGCGGCATCCCCCGTATTTCCTGAAACTCTCTGTTCCGACCTAGGGTTGAGAAAGGGTTTAGGGCTTAAGGTGGGTTTAGGGTTTAGGGGTTTAGGGTTTAGGGTTTTAGGGTTTAGGGTTTAGGGTTTAGGGGTTTAGGGTTTAGGGTGTTAGGATTTAGGGTTTTGGGGTTTAGGGTTTAGGTTTTTAGGGTTTAGGGTTTTGGGGTTTAGGGTTAAGGGTTTAAGACTTGGGATCAACTTGTCCCAGGCACATGTACCGCTTGAAGTGGATGCCGCGAAATGCATACGGCGCCTTCTCGATCTCGGCGCAAGACTTCGTCTGCTTCTTTGTGGATGCTGTCGCAAACAGAAACACAGAGACCATACAATACTTCCAACTAGGATATAGGAAAGTGGTATTTTGGAGGAGTGGTTGATTGATTGACTGTGGAAGCATCAGGAAGGTGCTACACCGCTACGGAGCCACAGTATGGTTCTGTCAGGATACGGTAGCCTATGAGACTCTAACCCGTACATGCTGCAACCCCGAACCCCAAGACTCACACTCCACAATCCAAGATAAAAGCAATCCAAAGACCCTAAACCCTAAACCCTAAATCCTAAGCCCTAAACCCTAAACCCACTACTCAAAGCCTTGTAAATCAAAGCACTCCGACTCCAAACTAAAGAGATGATCACAGACGAAAGGGCATTCTGGCAACATGGTGGTGCAGACAGTCCACCCAATGCTCTTGTGCAGTGAAGACAGGCAACATCATGCAAGTTCAGGGCGCTCTGCAAGAAACCTGCAGAGCATTCAGGAAGTGACTGATATAGCGACCAGAAAGACAACCACTCCACCAAACCATGCAGCCAAAATGTTGGAGCCATTTCCTGCAAAACCACCACATGGCATACAGCCTGAACGCACGAACACGAACTTCCCAAGGCCCTAAATCCAAACTCCAATATGACAGGCCTCGACGGTCCCGAGGCCAACGTGGAAACGGACAAGCTACTGTTTAGCCTGTTGGGCCTAGGATTAGCCTTTGGGGCGTTCAGCTTGATTGTTCAGTTTTTTGTTGTTTTGGGGCTTAGGGTGTGTAGGTTTAGGGTTTACAACCCACAGTCAGTTTTGCGTTCCCAATTTGATGTCCAAGTGGCCAAGTAGGGTGGGTAGAAGTAGTACCACAGCTTCTGCCCACCTGATGCCGACAAACCAAGGCACCCTGAACTCTTGTCGTAGACATGGTTCATTGAGCCATCCTGCTCAACTCACCCTACAGCCTATAAAGATGTGCCGAAGACCCGTAGACTGTAAAAATCTCCTAACCTCGGAAGAGGAAAAATGGAACATCATTCGACTCACGACTTCCTGCTGCGGGAGTAGGAGCCCCTAAACCCTAAACCTAAACCCTAAACCCTAAACCCTAAACCCTATACCCTAAATCCTAAACCCTAAACCCCAGCACCAGCCCTATGGTCCAACTTTTTGGGTTCGCGGTTCGCGATACCAAAAGACGGTTGAAAAGGCATGGGGGGTCTAACTTCTGCGCTTCTCCCGGTAGGCACTAGAAACTCGTTATAGTATAAGAACTCGTGTACTTTGTATCTTACACAACAACCCTCCCATCCCGCAGGCTATAATACCTATATGGGATGTGAGCCACGTACTGAAACACCGAGCAAAGATCCGACTGTAGATCCCGATATCTTATAAACTACTGTTGATGATATAAATCCTGCATTACCTTAAAAAAACCCTAAACTACGGGAATTATGATTATGGTATATTCCTTATTATGGGTAGTGCAGGATCTATATCATCAACCGTATGATGCCTCTTTGTGATATGAACCTGAAGCATAGGCCCTTTCGGGGGTTAGTTCGATCCTCAAGGAATGCCAGGCCTGGGTGAGCTAAGTCCTCCCGTGACAGAAAGTCTTCGAGACGGATAACATCGAAGCGCGCCTGCTTTTGTTTTAATGCAGGGTCCTTAACAATTAGATTTATAATAAGGAACCCCAAAACGGTTTTTAGGGCTTGGGGTTTAAAGTTTTAGGGTTGGGGTTTAGGTGTTACGGTTTAGGGTTTAGGCGTTTAAGTTTTTAAACATATTGATCTGCTTGCCGGTCTCGTTCGTTGAATTCCTCTGTAGGCTGCTCAAGCCACAACTACAACCAACTACTATTGCTAGACGCCCGAATTGCAAAGCATATCGCTAACAACCTGTTGAGCTTGTATAAGGACAAAACCCGGAAAACGATTCTCAAAAGACATCCAGTTCTGTTCATTGGAGGCTGGTTTTTGTGCTTAGCGATCAAGGATGAGACGGGCCATCTGTGGAAGCTTAAACGAGAAACGGATGGTTTTCACGTCGGTTCTTGGTTGTTGCTTGAAGTTTTGAAGGCTATGTGGGTTGGCGGGGCCTATGAGCAGTTTCACTCTAAACCCTAAACCCTAAGCCCCATATAAGGTATGTATGTATATATATATATATATAATATGATTCCCGTTTAAAGGGCTGTTAAGGGTTCCTTTGACGAGGTCTATAATTAGGGTTTAGAGTTTAGGGTTTAGGGTCAACTTGGAGGCCCAGGGGGACTTAGTAAGTCGGTTATAAGTAGCAGGGTTATAATTGGGGTAACTTTGACTCCAGTTAGGGTACTTATAACTCTACTTTTAACCTACTTACTAAGTTTCTTGGGCCTCCAAGTACAACATAATTAACCCGAAACCCGAAACATCCCCGCACTCTTGCCACGCCGCAGCCAGAGATTAAAGTTGGTTTCATTGAGCCGCTGCCCAAAGCCCTCAACTATCCCTATAGCGTTTAGGGTTTAGTGCTTAGGGTTTAGGGTTTAGGTAAGCCATCATGTACATCCTTACATACCACAAATCAACACAGACCAGGCTTATGAACCTTGAGCGCTATGACTATGGCACCCGAAACTACAGAACACTAAGGACAAGACTTCCTAAACCCGACAACTCTCCGAAAATAGATCCTACCTATAGTCTCCATTGTAGTTCCTGTTTTGGGGATACCATATATAGAATCCTTAATATATAATTGGTTAAACCAAAGAACTACAATGGAGACTGTAGGTACAGTCCCACTGCCCTGAACCATGACAGCCCAAAAAAAAGCAAAGAGCCCAAAGCTCGACGCCTTGCACCCCGAAGGCGGGGATGAAGCTCCACAAACTAGAAGCCCGACTTCCTAAACCATAGTCCGAAATTCTAAAACCTAGTCCAGAAGACTACATCGCCTTCAGGAGTGTTGGCTGAGGGTGTAGAACTTCGGGCTTAGGATTTAGGGTCTGGGACTCTGATCCGGAAACCCTGCGAGTAGGGCCCTTATGAACTAGAATAGGGCTTTGGGGCTCATT